ATATAGAAAAACAATTGCTTTGGTATCCTGCAACCTTGCTGAACTTGTTTATTAGTTCAAATATATTTTTAGTGGGTTCTTTAGGACTTTTTATGTATGAAATCATTTCATCTGCAAATAATGGTGGTAACAATTCTTCCTTTCCAAACCGGATGCATTTTATTATGATTTTGTGACTAGTTTCTCCTACTAGAAGTTCCAGTATGATATCGAATAGAAGTATTGAGAACAGGCATCTTTGCTGTGTTTTCAATAAGGTAGAAAACAGTCTTTCACCATTAAATATAATGTTAGGACTGGTTTTTTTAGATATATTTTATTAGTTTAAGAAAATTCCCCTCTACTACTTTATTGACTGTTTTTATCATGAAAGTATTTTGATTTTGTCAAATGCCTTTTCTGCATCTATTGAGATGATCATGTGTGGTTTTGTCCTTTCTTATGTTAATATGATGTATTATAATACATTAATTAATTTTCAGATATTAATCCAACCTTTAATTTCTGGGATAAATCCCACTTGATTTTGGTGTATAATCCTTTTTATATATTATGTAGCTGGCTTTAGTTTGTTAATATTTCACTGAAGATTTGTGCTTCTATATCAATGAAGGGTATTGATTGGTCTGTAGTTTTCTTTTCTTGTGATGTCTTTGCCTGGCTTTGATATCAGGGTAATACTGATATCATAGAATGAGGCAGTGTTCCTTCCTCCTTTATTTTCTTGAAGACATTGCTCAGAATTGGTATTATTTCTTTTTTAAATGTTTGATAGAATTTACATGTGAAATTACCTGGGCTTGGCTTGTATTCTTGAGGCCATTTTAAATTACTAATTAAATCTCTTTTTTTACTATAGTCCTTTTTGGATTTTATATTTCTTCTTGAGTCAGTTCAGTAATTTGTATCTCCTAGGAATTTTTCCATTTTATCTAAATTGTCTAATTTATTGGCATAAAGTTGTTTATAATTCTTTTAATTTCCATAAGGTTGGTATTAATGTCCCCTCTTTCATTCTTGATTTTGATAATCTGTGTATTTTTTTGTTTTTTTCTTGGTCAGTCAAGCTAAAAGTTTGTCAGTTTTTTTCATCTTTTTAGTGAACCAACTTTCGATTTCATTGATTTTTGTCACCGTTTTTCTGTTTTCCTTGTCATTGGTTTTCTACTCTAATCTTCGTCATTTCATTCTTTCTGCTTGCTTGTACTAAATACACAAATTTGATACTTTAGGAGTAACTAAAATTATTTGTTTCATTTGAAGCAGGATTTGAAACCTCAGACATGTAGAATGTTTATGATATTGTTAACTGGTCACCCAGACCAGTTAACTAGAAGGAAATTTGGTTTGCTGAAAACAGACAGGGTTTTATGTAGGACTTTTGTTGATTTCGAAAAATATCGAGTCTGGTTTGCAGAAAGGTTTTAATGAATGAGTAGGTTATTTTTTAAAATTTTAATATTTAGAATGTCTGTTTTAACTGAATCACTACATCTACCTCAAAGTTTATTTTTCTAAAGTTTAAATGGAAGTGTGTGTTAATCAGCATATATGCTATCCTCTCCATGCTTTATCTCTGGTAATTTTTATAACAGCCTCATGAATTAGATACTGTTTTATGCCCATTATATGGAAATAGAATCTTAGAGTAAGCATTTAAGTAGTTTTCCCAGGTTTAACCAGTTGGAAAGTAGCAGAACCTAGGTCTGTCAGATTCTAGCGACTACACACCCCAATACTATATCACATTGCCTGCTGTTAGAAGTTCAGCAGAGAATTCCTCATTTACATAGAAATAATGCAATTGATAGTATCTGGGATAATTGGCGTTAGTTTACAAATCCTTTTAACCCTTATTTTGGTGATTCTAGTTGGGGCCATCTGTCCACTAAATTAGGCTGGATGCACCCCTGCAACTATACACCAAATTTGTGTGTAAGGGTACTTTTCTGGGGAAAAAACTTATAGATTTAATCAAATGATCCAAAGAAGGTAGGCCCACTACTCAAAGCTGTCATATGATAAGAGAATGCTGTGGAGCCTCATTTCTTCCAATGGGGAACAAGTACGGTTTTTGAGTTGAGATGGTGGTATAAGGGAGGTCAGCACATTCTGAAACCTGGCTAGAGGCATAAAGGAGTTGTTCTGGACCTAGTAGTTTGAACCTGTAGGCAGTGGTGATGGTGGACAGAATAATGACTTAGATGATGGGAGATGACTACAGATCCTAGAACATGATATAAATCCTAGATATGAGATTTTAAACTCTATTTGGTGGCAAGATAAACATCGCTAAAACAGTCTACAATCATATTCTCTCAAGAAGATCGTACATTTCAGCTGTACAGCATCAATTTCTTTTCCAGTGACGTTCCACTTTTTCATCAGAGTGTTCTTGTCACACAAATAGTTAACTATGAGAAATATCTGAAGATGCTGGCTTCTCCGCTTCAAGAGAGTAATCCAGATCAACCTGAAGAACTATACTTTTGGCAATCTGTTTAAAAATGATAGGCAGGTAGGGATAACTATTTCTAGTTTTGCTCAAATTGTGACATTCTTACCACAATTATTTTCTTTTTGAAATGATGAATATAAATCATATGCATTACTTCTATTTGTGTAAAAGATAAAATATGACACAGGGGTTCTTATGTGAACATGAAGCAAGAGTGGGAGCTTCCTGATCTGAGCGTGTTGGTTGAACAGAAATAGTAGTTGCAATTCATTGTACTAGGAATTGGTGTTTTTAATTACTACAATTAATGCTCACAACTGTTCTGAGAGTGAGTATTACTATCTTCTCTTTAATAAGAAATCAAGGCTTACAGTAGTCAAATGGCTTACCCCAAGTGACAGATGATAAAAGATAGAGCCAGGGTTTGAACCCACATCTTTTTTACTCTAGAGTCTATATTCTTTCCCACTACCCACACTAACTCCTTTAAGATTGAGATTACAGTCTACTTCCTCTGTTATTCAAGTCACTAGTGACTTAGAATAGATAGAGTCACTAGCTCTATCTAGACACTGAGTGTCCCTCTTGAAATATGAAGTACTAGGTGATGTTGCCATAATTCGATTGTCCTAATGGAAATCTTAATGTGAGGTATGTGTTGTGTGTGAGAGAGACATACTGACTTCACCATTAAAACAAGAAGACACAGGTGGTGGGGGTGGGGCAATCCCCCACCTCCCTGAGCTCCACAGACACTAAGCTGCGACAAGTAGGAGCACCACTGTGGTGAGCCTGCCTTGGGCGCGGGCCCGGGTGGAGCCGCCGCAGGTGCAGATCTTGGTGGTAGTAGCAAAAAATAAAAAATAGAATAAAAACGATGAAGACAGGGGCAGGTTGCCTCTCTACGTGTGGAGGAGACCATAGGCTCCACATGTACTCGCCATCAAATTGGCACTAACTGACCAGCACTATGGTGCTCACATGGCAGTAATATTCTCCAGGGATTAGGGGGTTAACAGGTGTAAACTCACAATTACTGGATGTGGTGAGAGTTGTAGAGGGGAAGGGCATGCCTCTAATCCTTGCTTGGGTGAGGCAAAGTCATAAAATGTAACCAAAATGTTTGTACCCTCATAATATCCTGAAATAAAAAAAAAAGACACAGGCAATAATCTCTTCTTAAAGTGATTCCAGTTCACCTCCAGGAATTCTCAATTAATTGGAGTTTTCCTTAATTTTCTGTGCTTTGGTTTTCTCATTTTTTACAAGGGAGATAATAATCGCACCTCACTCATAGGGCTTGGCCAAGGATTGAGTAAAGCATTTAAAACATGTAAAGCATTTAAAACAGTACCTGGAAGGTATAAATGCTCAGTGAAAATATTTTCACCCATTCTGAACTCCTCTTTTTATGGGAAATGCAAATGGTTTGGAAAAATTTTAACTAAAATTATATTTAATAATGCAAGGGCATATTCTTGAGTTACCCTTTGATGAAAACAATTTTTAGCTAAACTACTGTACCCTTCACTTTCATCTTTTATCTACTACCAGCATTGAAAAGTATCTCCTAACCCTGCCTGGTTCCAAAATTGACATATTTGAATCTCTATAAGGTTAGGGATGGGAAGATTTTCATTTTAAATCTTCTCTACCCTTCACTATCTATATGTATCATTTAATAAGGTATTTGTGAGTATTTGTTAATACTGCGGTGAGCCTTTAAAGCACAAAAGGACAAAAAGGTATTTCCCCCTTTTCTCTCCTAACAAGGGCTGACACAAAATGATGTGTACTTTACCAAAGAGATGACCATATGTTTACTGCTTTGGTTGATGAGAGCCACTCATTCCCCAAGCATTCTTATTAAGCATGATTGTATTGTGTTTGGCTTTGGACAACACTCCATTTTACCTTCTTGTTTCACTGAAAGTAGATGAAATTAGGTTGCATTTTCTGAGAACATGGTTTGTATTGGGAGATGATAAATCTTTGGCCTGTGATTAAAATTTATATTAACCACTTTGGTACCAGCGTCAACTATAGTCAATAGCCACAGATGAACGTGCACAGCCGAGCATCGACTATAGCCGAAAGCCGTGATATGACTTTTCTAATTTTTCATTTATCAAAATAAAATTGTGTAGAACTTGGAATCCAATGAGGGAAAAAAGTAAAAATGTAAAAAAATATAAAAAAAATAAAATTGTGAACATTTAAAAATAACATAATGAAAACATTTATGTATATGTTACCTATTCTTATGTACATTACAAGTAAAGCTGCCTGTGAAGTAAAACAAGCTTTCAGTGCTTTAAAGCTTTCCTCATCACACAAGAGCAAAACGGATTTGTTGTCAATACATAGCACAAACTATCGTGCGGACTATGAGTGCCGGCTGTGGGCAAGGTTTCAAGGCCAGTGAGCGCTGTACCGAAGTGGTTAATGATGTAAATGCATGGCTGTATGTGCATATGAAGACTGCTATTTTGTAATGGTTGAATTTTGACTTTAATGGAATATGTTCACCAATGTTTTTCAGGAAATGAGCAGTGAAGTAGATGACTTTACAACAGGACATCAAAAAAAAATGAAGCCTCATGGAGAACCCAACAGGCGCTCATCTAAGAGAAGGCGGAGTATGTTTCTGTGGTTAAGCAAACAAGAAGGAGAGGGGGAATCCCAGCTTTATGACTCAGCAATGTCAAAGGAAATTTGTAGTCATGTACTTGAGGGATGGACAGATATGAGCACATTTTCAAGTGGAAGAGCAAGGCTCTAATTAGGCCCAACAATTTGGAGTTGCTAGAAGAGTTAGAAGAATAATGTAGGTTCCTGAGACAGAAGATGATGGGCTCAGCAAGGGGATGAGTCTGCTCACTTTCTGCCTGTCCTCACATTCTACTCTAACCCAGGGCAGTCTGGCTTCTTCTTACTGTCTTTCCATGGAACTTCTCTCATCAAGATCACTAGTACCTGCTGCACTTTGGCATTAGTTTCTCAGCGGCATGTGATACAGTTGGAAAACTTCTTGGGTTCCCAGATACCACATTGTCCTGGGTTTCTTACCCCTTACTGAAGATTCATTTTCCTTCTCCTTTTTTTCCCCCACTTCCTTCCCATCTCTAAATATTGCAGGGCCCCAAAGCTTGATATTGGGCCTTCTTCTCTTCAATATGCTATCCCCCTAGGTGATGCCATGTAATGTTACAGCTTTAAATGTGATCCACACTACAAGAACTCTCACCTTTATACCTCTAGACTACAACTTGCTCCTGAAATCCAGACTCAAATACAACTGCATATGTGGTAGCTCCATTAGGTATCTAATAGACATCTAAATTCAACTGGCTCTACGTGTTGAAACTGCTGACCTCCCTCTCTCCAAAGACATTCTACTTTCAGCCCTCACTATCTCAGTTAGTGTCACCATCCATCCAGTATAACATCCATAAAGGTGTAACAATCAGCTGTTCATAGGTAGGGGGCTTGAAAAGTCCTGGTTTTTAGAGTTTGCAGCTATCCATAGAGTAAATAGTCCCCCCCATGGCCTAGTTCGAGCTGTCAATGTGAGGTTACTGAACCAGAATCTGGAAGGATTGGTAACAGTCCACTCTCATTATCAGTTGCCTAACACCTCCTGTACATACCCCTGTCTCTTTTATCCAGTAGTTCAGGCCAAAACACTTAGAGTCACTCATGATTTCTCTTATTATTCTTTTATTATTCTCACACTTCCAATGTCTTAGCAAGTCCAACAATTAATACCCAATATAAACACTGCATCTTACCATTTCTCTCTATCCCTCTATTCCACTCTGCCATGAACTCTCACCAAACTATAATAACTTCTTATTTGATCTCTATGTTTCCTATTCCCACCCCCATCTAAACCCACACCCTGCAGTCAGAGTGATCATGTCGGCACATGTGTCACATCATGCCATGTCCCTCCTGAAAACCTTTCCTCAACTTTCCTAAGCACTCATCATAGACCCTGAGATCCCTACTATCTGGTCTGCAAGGCTCTGCACAGCCTGGTCCCCCATCATGTGTTCTTAACAGAAGTCCCCATGGGGCTCCTCCTGGCTCCCTCTGCCTCTGACCTTCACTCTGTGGTGCCTGGCCTGTCCCCACTGCAGCCTCTGCCCTTGCCCTCCCAGCAGTCTGTAGTGCTCCTTCCGCTCTGCACAGGCTAGCTCTCCCTCCTCCTTCAGGCCCTGCCCAAGGACACCTCCTCAGGAGGCCCTGCCCAGCCACCCGTGGCCCCTGGGCTCCCTCTGCTGCTCTTCCAGGGGCCTGCGGGCTCCTTCCCTAAGCCCAGCCCAGCTCTGCTGCTTTCCTTTGCTCATTGTGCACTTCCTGCCTGACTTCCCCATGAGGGTGTGAGCCCCACGGGAGAGGGAGGGTGGGGCGGCGGGGAAGTTTCTCTCTGTGCTGCTCACTGCTGATCCCTGGCTTCTGGCACGGTGCCTGGCACAGAGGATGAATAAATGACATAGAGGTGCCAGACTTGGAGTAAGAAAAAAGTCACTTTTCTAAGACAGAAGGGAAGGATGGGGAGGATCATACACAGACAGATTTTTGGTAACACAGTGCATGTAGAACTTTCAGCCCTAATGGCCGGCTCTATTTTCTCAGAATCGTTGAGGTGGAGGAGAGGCAGATTGAGCAGGGCTCACTCAGTCTGGCTTCCAGCTCAGTACAGCATGACAGGAAATTTTTAGTTTATAGGCAAATTATAAAACTCTTCACATTAATTTAGAATTGTAAATGGCAGCAAGATGACAGTGAACCCTGAATACCAGGAATTTGTAAATGTTTATTAGTTGTACTTTCCTACTTGTTTTCTGTATGTGTTTCTAGTGCCAGGAGGGAAAAAGATGGTTTGCTTGTATTATCTTTCCCGAGTTCTATTTGTGAGATATGAGATTTCCACCTGGTACCTCCTTCTGTTTATGAAGTAAATAATTCTGTAGAAATTGATGTGTAGTGGATGTCCCTGTGGGGGAGGCTGGAATAAAACACTTACCTCGAAGCTCAACCTCTTAATTTGGTTTCCAGGTGCTACTGTCATTCACGATGTCCATGTGAATGAGATGGAAAATGAGCAACCACCACCTGAAGGCTTCTCGTCAAAATATGTTCCACCAGAGCCTATGAATATGGCAGAAGGTGGTATTCCACCTAATCAATTGGATTCTCTGTCTGATGACTCCATCAGTCTCGGGAAAGATGAGCTGGTTCACAAACCTGGTAGTAGTGATACACCTGTAGAAGGAACCAAACACAGTAGTGTTTCTGTAGATGACCCAAGAGTCACAGCAATGTCTTCAATGGAAAATGTGCCAAATACATGGCAAATCAGTCCTGCCATGGCACAGAAAATTAATGATGATATAAAATATCAATTAATGAAGGAAGTTCGAAAGTTTGGACGAAGTAAGTAGTGAAAGAACATCTATCAATAAAAGCATAGGAGATCTCTCTCATTCTGTAATTTAGAACAGTCAAGCTACCTTTTCAGCTCATTATTTGGCTGAATTGGATTTTTACATAATTTAGGATGCTTTCTCTTTAATTTGACTAAAAATTTCGAATACATATTCTAAAATGTTTTACTGGGCTAGTATTTAATATAGTTCCTTTAGTAAATATGTACAGGTTTTGTGATTTAATCATTCAAAACACAAATACTACATAACATTTTAGCCCATGAAGAGTAAATATTGAGTTAGTGAATGCACTAAGACTGAGTTATATTTAATTTCCATAATTTTAGAAGTACTGAATTTTTTCTAATATCTTCAGACTATGAAAAAATTTTCGTTTTGCTTGAAAAAGTGCAAGGAGATTCAGAAGTCAAAAAACAATTTGTTGAATTTACCATCAAGGAAGCAACAAGGTGGGTGTAAAAAGGAACTCTTCCATTGTTTTAAGCAGTTGGGCTCAATTCAGAGTCGGGGCAAGAACAGGTCCTGCCTTATTTTTCCTAAACTCTGGCCCTTGATCATACTTCATGCTATTTCCACAGGCATTTAGGTTGATATTCACTAAATCTAATGTATTCTTCCAAGGCCACAGAACCTTCCGAGCTTATCATAATCTGGGGTGGGTATGGGCCCTCAATTGACACACTTAGTATTTTGCTGGGTAGTGTCATTTTTATTTTTATTTTTATTTTTTTGAGACAGAGTCTCACTCTTCCCGGGCTAGAGTGCCATGGTGTAAGCCTAGCTCACAGCAACCTCAAATTCCTGGGCTCAAGCGATCCTTCTGCCTCAGCCTCCTGAGTAGCTGGGACTACGGGCATATGCCACCATGCCCGGCTAATTTTTTGTATATATTTTTAGTTGGCCAATTAATTTATTTCTATTTTTAGTAGAAATGGGGTCTTGCTCTTGCTCAGGCTGGTTTAGAACTCCTGACCTTGAGCGATCCTCTTGCCTTGGCCTCCCAGAGTACTAGGGTTACAGGCGTGAGCCACCGCGCCCAGCCTGCTGGGTAGTATCTTTACATGAGGATGTATTTTCTATTTGTATTCAGATTGTAAACTCTATTTTATATCCACTACTATGTCTTACATATCATAGATGCTGTAGATATCTTGTGGTTAACAGAATGCCTCTTTAATTCCAGGTTTAAAAGATTTGTTTTAATACAGCAACTTAAGAAGATCCTTTAAAAAATAGATTCCTATCATCCTCAGCAAAAGTAATCACATGAAGGGAAGATAATTGTGTTATTACAAAGAACATAGAGAAACAAGGACAAGTTTTCTATGCTGTAGGATGGAATGGGATCTTGATAAAGATCCCTAGAATTTTGAAGTCAAGAGAATTCCCTTTTAGAAGCTAAGAAAAAACAGTGGAGCTTTTTCAATTTTGTGATTTTCTATTAGTAAAAGCCCTAAAAATTTGTTATGAAAGTATAGTTTGTTGTTTGTTTCTTTGTGTGTTTTCCTACCTGGGTGGGGAGAGGGATGAGTTAATAACTTATTGAGCTATTTAATATTACAGTCCTAGTTTCTGCAGCAGATCACGTGATCATAGCTGGTATATATAACTGCCTTTTTCACTACCTATTTCTTTTTCTTTTTTTCTTTTTTTTTTTTTTTTTGAGACAGAGTCTTGCTTTGTTGCCCAGGCTAGAGTGTGTGCCATGGTGTCAGCTTAGCTCACAGCAACCTCAAACTCCTGGGTTCAAGCAATCCTGCTGCCTCAGCCTCCCAAGTAGCTGGGACTGCAGGCATGTGCCACCATGCCCGGCTAACTTTTTCTATATATAGTAGTTGGCCAATTAATTTCTTTTTGTTTATAGTAGATATGGGGTCTCGCTCTTGCTCAGGCTGCCTTTGAACTCCTGACCTCGAGCAATCCGCCCGCCTCGTCCTCCCAGTGTTAGGATTACAGGCGTGAGCCGCCGCGCCTGGCCTTCACTAACTATTTCTTATTCCTTTTTCCCTGAGATAGCACCTCCTCTCATCATGGCATTTTGCCTGGTGGAATGACTCAAATCTTAATTGCTGAAAGGTCTGGGTCATAGATATCCTTCCTCAATTGAGTTGTTGTAATTTTCCATTAACTGTAATCACAAAACATGAGAATACTAAGAAAATCTCTAGATATTTCAGACATACTCTTTCTTGGCCCCTTGTGTAGCAGGAACCCAATCTCCCTTTCATCATCAGGTGTCATTGCCCTAGCCAGTACAGGACCTCTTCCTTTGCCTATTGATTGAGAGAGATGAAGAGACCAAAATGGCCAGCTGGAAGTATAAATTCCTTTTCAGTGGAATCACTGTTGTGTCCCTTGGTGAAAGCATTTCTCCCTTTAGAACAAATCCCTGTAGTTCAGCAGAGCCTAAAGAGAGGGATGGGAAGTATTTTTGCTAGTGAATCACTGGGGGAAATAGTGAGTAGAGGTAATCCTATTTCCACCCATTGATTTTAGGACCCATGAATCCTGACTATGGAAGAGAACTCAAACTAGGTTGGATACTGACACATAACAAACATTGCTTCCTACAAGTATTTGCTCAGCTCTGCAAGTTATTGCCATATAGCTAGCCTCAGAACCAAGTCTTCCCAGGGCCATTCCACTGTTCTATTGATCCAATCAATTCAAGGTAATGGGGGAACATAATAAGACCAGTGAATTCCCATGGGCATGGGCCCACTGCTGCTTTTTATTTCCTGTGAAGCGAGTCTCTTATTTAGAGATGATGCTGTGTGGAAATCCATCATGGTGAATAAGGCATTTTCTAAGTCCACAAATGTTGATTTTCTCAAAGTACTATGGGTGAGAAGGAAAATCCAAATGCAGAATAAGTGTCTATTTGAGTAACAACAAAGCACTGTCCCTTCCATAACGGAAATGGTCCAATGTAATCACCTGCCACCAACTAGCTGGCTGATCATTCTGGAGACAGGTGCCACATAATAGGCTTCCTGCTGGTCTCCATTTCTGGCAGATTGAGCACTCAGCAGTGGCTGCATTGAGGTTGGCCTTGGTGGGTGGAAGTCCATGCTACTGAGCATAACCTCCATCCCTGCCACCTTGGACACTTTGTTCTTGAGCCCATAAGATTATGACACAAGTGTTGGGGAAAGTGGCTGATTGATATCCAGATAATGGGGATCGTATCCATCAGATTATTAAAATTCTGCTCTGCTGAGGTTAGCTTTTGCTGAGAACTCTCATAAGTCTCAAATATCTTCACATTGTATATTCATTTGGACAGGTATATGCACATACCTCTTCCCAAGACCTCCTTGTCACAAATTTTCAAGCATGTATCTTCAAAGTCCCTGACCATTCAGCCAATGAATGGGGCAGAGCCTATGCATGGATACATGCTCATACCTCTGGCTGTCTCTCCTCCAGGCAGAAGGAACAACCAAGTGCACTGCTCAAAGTTCTTCCCTCTGGGAGGATTTCCCTTCACCAGTGTCCTTCAGGACTGTCCCAGTTGGGACTGCACTACTGTAGCTGCCCACTTTTGGCATGTGTGGTAGATGGGGGAATGTTTGTGTCCCAAGATTTCATACATTGAAACCCTAACCTCCAATGTGATGGTATTTGGAGGTAGGGCCTTTGGGAAACAATTAGGTTTAGATGAGGTCATGAGGGCGGGGCCCCTATGGTGGGGTTAGTGCTCTTATAATTAGAGCAGAAATAATTTGCTCCTTCCCACCCACAACATGTGAGGATATAGCAAGGTGGCCAAGTGCAAGCCAGGAAGAGGGCCCTCACTAGAACTTGACAATGGTGGCACCCTGATCTCAGACTTCCCAGTCTCCAGAACTGTGAGAAATAAATGTCTGGTGTTTAAGCCACCCAGTCTATGTGATTCTGTCATAGCAGCCTGAGAAGACTGAGGCAGCAATATTCTGATTATGGGATGGGATCTTTCCCAGATCCCATCTCCTGTACATTCAATCAAATGTCAATACTAATACCTAGAAAAGGCTGCAGCTCCAGGGTAGAGAGCAGTTAAAGGTGGGTCATTTATTGATTTTCAAGTATCTGTTCTGGGAAACATAGAAGACCAGCTATAAGGGTTAGAGGCAAGCTTAATAAGAGTAACTGGGCCCTGTCTCAGAGGAGGCAACTTCCTGGGAGTACTCAGAGCTGGCAGGATGAGGCAGAGGCAGAAATAGGAGCAGATGTGAGGTAGGCCTCCCTCCCCTGGGAAATCCTGTCAGGGAGGGTAAGTGAGAAAGTTCTGGAACCAGGGTTATGTGACCAGTAGAATGCAGTGGGAGACTGAGTCAGGAGGATCCTAAAGCTGCAGCATCTGGTGAGACCCCATTGGAGGAGTAGAAAGTACTTTGGGGCCAAAACAGACCTGGCTTTGAGGTATTGCTCCAGGTATGCCCTTATTTGCCTCTTACCTGGGGCTACTTATCTAACCTCTGTGTTTCCATATATTCTTCTGTAAACTGAGGGTGATCATAGCAGCTACCTCCTAGGATTATTGTGAGGATTTGAAAAATAACTAATTTGTTCAGTATTTACTGAAAACATTCTAAGTGCCAGGCATTTATCTAGGCATGAAAAAACAGTGAACTAAATACTGTTCTCATGGAGCTTACATTCCACTTGGCGGCTAAGGCCCTAAACAACCAGAGCAACTGTAGAATAATGGTAAATTCTCTGCCAAAAGCTGAAATGGGGTAAAGAGAAAATGAGTAAATGATACTTTGAATTTGGTAGTCAGGGAAGGCCTCTCTGGGAAGACATCTAACCTGAGACAGGAGTAAAGGACCTTGGTTCTACTCTGAAGGGCCTCAGCTTCTGCAGAGTCCCCTTTTCTCCAAGGTCAGAGAAAAAGAAGGGACAAGGGTATTAGTAAGTCTTCCTGGGGATCACAGCTCATATTGGTGGGTTCCAGCCAGCATGTACTCTTTTCTTCCTGAATGTCTGCCCTGCTCCAGCATAAAATGGGGACACAACAATCTTACAGAAACAGCTTAATGAACTCCTACCATTACATAAGGCCATTTCCTAATAACAAATCTTCACACACAAATATTATCTTCTACTGGTTCTGCTTTTCTGGTTGAAGCCTGATGGATACAGATTTTGATATTAAATATGGTTTCATAAGAATAGAATCTTAATAAAATATTTTCTTTTGAGACAGAGTCTCGCTTTGTTGCACAGGCTAGAGTGAGTGCCATGGCATCAGCCTAGCTCACAGCAACCTCAAACTCCTGGACTCAAGCAATCCTACTGCCTCAGCCTCCCGAATAGCTGGGACTACAAGCATGCACCACCATGCCCGGCTAATATTTTTCTCTATATATTAGTTGGTCAATGAATTTCTTTCTATGTATAGTAGAGACGGGGTCTCGCTCTTGCTCAGGCTGGTTTCAAACTCCTGACCTCGAGCAATCCTCCCTCCTCGGCCTCCCAGAGTGCTAGGATTACTTACAGGTGTGAGCCACCGTGCCTGGCTTTAATAAAAAATTATCTAAAATTGTTCTGGGTTTTTTGGAATTCCTTCTTTAATATGATTCAATTTAAAGATCTTAGTGGGCTGGGTGTGGTGGCTCTCACACCAGTAATCCTAGCACTCTGGGAGGCTGAGGCAGGCGGGAGCATTGCTTGAGCTCAGGAGTTTGAGACCAGCCTGAGCAAGAGCAAGATCCCGACTCTACTATGAATACAAAGAAATTAGCCAAACAACTAAAAAAATAGAAAAAAAAATTAGCCAGGCACAGTGGCATGTGCCTGTAGTCCCAGCTACTTGGGAGGCTGAGGCAGGAGGATCACTTGAGTCTAGGAGTTTGAGGTTGCTGTGAGCTAGGCTGATGCCATAGCACTGTAGCCTGGGCAACAGAGTGAGACTCTGTCTCAAAAAAAAAAAAAAAAAGAAAAGAAAAGAAAAAAGAAAAAGAAAATGATGTGCTCAGGTCCTTAAAGTCCCATATCAAGGTCCACATAAAAGACCTGAAAGCTTCCATGACTGTCCATGAAAAAACCCTTATCCCTCATAGCCACAGCGCTGAGATTTGGGAAAACTAAATCCAAAATCTAATCCTGTGATTGACTGAATTACAATAAAATTGAATTCCTAGCCTCTCAAGGTCTCTTCTGTTAGGGCCCTGATTGGGGATGAATTGGGATTCTGAAAATTGGAATGTGACATATACACAGACTCTGATGAAGCTGGGTACCTTGAGCTCCTAAATTCTGTGAGATTTATTTTCCAGCAGAAAAACACACCTTCACTCCTGGAGGAGTTTATTTCTCCTCTGCCTGAAGAACCTGCCATAGTGTCATCCGAGGTAGTTGCCTTGCAGGACACTGCTAAGCCTCCTGAGAAGCTGGGTACCTTGAGCCCCTAAATTCCGTGACATATATTTTCCAGGTCATTAGCACTGCTCTAATTAT